TTTTGTCCAATAAATATTTATATAAATAAAAAACTAATAATAAAAATGAATTAAAGTTAAATTTAAGGTAAAATATAATTTCAAATTAAAAAGCCACGGGAAGTAAGATTTTGGAACCACCAAGATATAAATAAAATACAAGGAGAGAGAGAGGGTGTGAAGTAGTAACTTTTTGCAAAGGGCAAAGATGATTTATGTAATATCTAGATTTGAAAAAAAAAAAAATAAATAAATAGAAGGACCAAACCTGGAAGTTGGCAGCTAATTGGTGGACGATGGAATGCATTGTGGAGAGTGGTGCGGTCTTTACCCCACTTTTTGTTATATAGGTAGGGGAACACCGCCCCCGACTGTAGTTTGGGTGCGGTTTAGACCGCAGTGTGATAAAAAATGGTCATGGTTTGTGATTAGGTAGGGATAATTTGACCATTTTGTGATTGGTTGGGGAGAGAATAATGTTTTTATTAAAAAAAAAAATTTAAATAAAGTGTGTCATCACTCCTTGGGTGTGTCAAGGAACCGTAACTTTTTGATAAAAATATCGTGGCACTTATGTGGCAATAAATAGAGTACGGTTTCAGTGGCACCACTCCCTCCGGCCTTATAATTTATAAGAATTAAGAAATGTCACGTAGTGGACCACCACTACGGAAACAGAAATGAAGAGTCTAAAAGTGAATGCTAAAAATTAGTCAAGGGACCATCAGTGTAAATCCCATTAACTGTCATAATGTAGTTGTACTGTACAACTCATTAAAGCTCTCAATCATTTTGGTCAAGGGTATGGCATTGCATCATAGGACCACCGTCTTATAAAAGCTAACTCGTATATTTTTATACGGTTTAAATTTATTTTACAAGTTTCATGTAAAACGTTTATATTATACAAACATATACATAAATATTTTAAAGTTTTTATTAACGGACATGACATTTAAAAGTTTATAATATCTACAGGCTAATTTTCACAAAAAGATATGATCCTTTTTAGTTGATAATTTATATTTTTGATCATAAAGTTTCACAAAAATTTAAAAAAATGGGACTTTATACAGCAAAATAACTGCCTTTGACTTTTATAATACGATGACCATATATTTGATAATGTGGTCTCTTTTGATTTACAAAAATGTTATTTAAAAGACCCAACAATTTAACATTTTTTTGCCATGTTTTACTAATTTATTCAAAACTAAGAGATATGCAGATGCAAATAAAGGTAAGTTTTTTGTTTTATTTTTAATTTATATGGAACTTATTACAATTTTGTAATTACAGTTACTCTAGTAGATTTTTTTTTTTACTATTTCTTATTATTTGTTCGATATCAAGAACATGTATTGTCAAAGAAACAAAGGCATGTTTGGTGTAACCTTTTTCAAATTAGGTTTTGTGCATCAGATGTAACATATGATCGGTGCACAGTGCGTAACATATGTTCGTTCTACAAGGCTTAACATATGTTTTGAGAACCATATTAGGCCAAGCCTAATTTGGTCGAGAGTTTTTCGGGAAGATATGGATTGGGTCGAGACACACCTTAATTAGGTCCAAGACCTGGTTTGGGTTGAGACCCAATTTGGGTGGAAAACAACTTCGGCCCAAAATCCACTTTGGCCCGGCCTCCCTCATTTTGGGTTTAGTCCATTTGCTCTATTGGTTGGTTAGGTTTTACTAGTAACCAAACTTATAACTCAAAAGATACAAGAAATACAACCAAAAGTACATACCTTAATCTAGATTACAAACACTTTGATATACGATTACAAACCAAAATACATAAATTTTATGACAAAATTACAATCAACCAAACATCATAATAAACAAAACACTTTTTAAATTTTGACCCATAAAGCACATCAAACTTAAATATGAAAAATAGTTTGATGAAAACATTGATTTTTATACATGTAAAAAAACTCAGTCATGTTAACAGTTTACTAAAAATAAGAACATCTAATTCATCAAAAGTTTTTAACATTTATATTGTCTTTTAACATTACCAAAATATGTTTCTTCAAGCATCTCATCCAAATAATCCCAATGAAGTGAATCGTAAGCTTTTTCGATGTCGATCCAAAAAACCATTGGCTTTCTATAAGCTTTTTTTGTACCAATCAACCATCTTGTTAAAAGTCAACAAATTGTCAAGAATAAACGTGTCACCACTCACCCCAACTAAGCAATTAGCCAATATTTTGGCTATAATATTGTATTCACATCCGATGAAACTAATAACGTGAAAATACTTTATAGTATATTCGACTAGGGGTGAGCATTTGGACCGGATTGGACCAGCTTTTGGACCAGACCGGTTTTACAGAAATTTGTGGACTTTTGACCTCATCTGTTGAGGCTTACCAGGTCCTGGTCCAGATCTGGTTCTCGGTTCTTGGACGTAAAAGTGAGCATTTGGACCAGCCCGGACAACTCTTGGACTGAACCTATTTATAGAAATTAGTGGACCTTGGACCAGACTTGTTAAACAGGTCTTATCAGGTCCAAGTCCAGTTCCTGGTCCGGAGGTCCAAATGTTCACCCTTACATTTGACATTTGACATTGTAAGAATCAAAGCTATAAAAGAGGAATTATATTATTAAGCAAAGTTATTTTCCATGTTTTTAATTCAGAAAAAAAGATCATTTGAATTCATATCACTAACATTGTATAATTTTTAATAATCAAGCACTACTTCAAGGAAAGAATAAAATTGATTTATGATTTCTCATTTTTGTCTCTAATTTGTGGAAACCTAATGTCAAACAAGCTATAAAAAATGTAACATCCATAAAAATCAGGCCAAATTTAAACTTTTTAAAACATTTAGAAACCAACAGTTATTACCAATTTATTTTCAAAACAATTATATATCAGAGTATCACAGAAACATAGTCATAAAAGGTGAGGAGTTGTACGATCACGTCTTTGCCTTCCTGCGATCATCTGATGTACCTGAAACAATAAATTGAAACTGTAAGCCCAAGGCTTAGTGAGTTACCCCCAAAATACCGATACACATACAGTCCACATAACAATATCAGCAATATCATAACATAACAACTGAAACAGAACAGCACGTAACGGTTCCACAGCTTCACAGACTGGAATACCCCTGGGCCCACAGTGTGAGTCTGGAATGCCTACCGGGCCCTCAGCTCACATCTGGATTGCCATCGAGCCCTCAGTACGAGCCTGGAATGCCTACCGGGCCCTCAGCTCGTATCTGGAATGCTTCTGAGTCCTCAGTATGAGTCTGGAATGCCTACCGGGCCCTCAGCTCATATCTGGAATACTCTAGGGTTTGTTGGCTACCGCACGGAGCAGTACCACCTCAACCCATCCCACATAACATGTCGACATGTAACATAACTAATGCACATACAGATAATCATACAATATCACAGGTAGTCCTACAGATCTACCAGACTAGCATATCAACTGGCATACATCACTAACTCATACTCAACATATCAATAACTACTAGAGTATAAAATCCAATGGGTCGGTCTGGGTGCCTTAGACCTTTTAGTACAGTGAGGATAACTCACCTGGCACTGCTGAAGTCCCGCAGGTAAAGCTCCCGCTGCTGGTTGACATATTCCCGAACTGTCAACATCAAACAATACACAATTAATAATTGGGTTCCAAGCCCAAGGTCCAACTCACACTACAAAAGACCAAAAGTCAAATCATGGGCCAAAGCCCAACATATGGCCCAATTTTCCAAATTGGGCCCAGACCTCTACATGGTCTTTCCTTAAGGCCCATCCAATTATTCCAATCCAATTCCCATGGCCCATTATCATATAATCATAAAGGCCCAATTATGGCCTATCTATGGCCCAATTTTCCAAATTAGGCCCAACTCCTCACATGGGTCTTATCCTAAAGCCCATCTAATTACTTTGGTCCATTAACTTGTTCTTGGATGGCCCATCAATAGTCCAATCGCCAAAGCCCAATAAGAAGGCCCAATTCAAGGCACGAGTGAGATTAGGGCTTTCACATGAAATGATGATTAGGGTTAAGTGTTTCTTACTTAACCCCTTAAGGACTTAATCCAAGTCCATTATTGCTAAGTTAGTTTGCCAATGATTATTATTTAATATTTTAAGCTTATTAAATAATTCCCGTGTGTGTGTCTCAATCAATTCCCAAAATTAGGGTTTCAAGGCATTAGGGTTTTCCAAACCCTAATTAGGGTTTCCAACCCAAATACTAGCCCATTAATCAAATGGTTGGGCTTTTAGGTCTATTAGGGCTTTATTGGGCCCAATAGGGTTTATTAGGCCCATTAGGGTTTTAGTCCCCATGTCCAAACGTCCCAAACAAGTCCAAAACGCAAACGAGGCACACCGCCACCCGACACGGCGGTCGGTGGCGGCAGGAGGCGGCAGCCACCACCCTACGGTGGTGGTTTAGACTTTTCTTTCATTATTCCCATACGAATTACAATGCAATTTACAATAATATCTAAACAACACACACACACTCATAAAATAATACACACACAGCCACCTTGTGGTGGCCGACGGTGGTAAATGGTGGCAGCCACCACCTCACGGTGGTGGTGGTGGCTATTCTTGATTTTCCAGCCATACAAACCCAATACTACATCAAACAATTAACACACCCTCACTCTCTATGCTCGGAACAACAACGCAGCCACCCACCAGGTGGCATTTGGCGACGGCAGAACCACGGAGAGGCGGCAGCGGTAGATTGCGGCATCAGCCGCCACCTCCGAGTGGTGGCGATGCTTCCTTTTTGGTCTTCAGCTCAGCAACATGTTTGACATACGTAGCAGGAGTACACACTAACCAGTAGCCCTTCGGAATAGCAACGGTGACCGATCCATACAGCGGCGGTGGCGGTGACTACGCCCTTCACCGGTTCAGCGCAACAGGCGCAACAGGTCTCGGTGGTTCACGACCCACCCTCGCTTCCTGTTCCCTGCAGTGGCGGCTGGAGGTTTGTAAGGTGGCGGATGAAGACTTCCATGGCAGCGACGAAGACGGGGAGGCGGTCTAGCGAGCAACGGCGACAGCCACGCATACAACGTCGTTTCCCCGACGTTAGGGTGAGCGAGAGGTGGTTGCTCCGGTGGTTTGGGGCTCCAACTAAGGTGGTGTGCGACTCGACGGAGGAAAGTAGCGGCGCCGGAAATTGAGAGCTTGATGGTGGCGGCTGAATGAAAGGAGTCTTAGGGTTAGGGTTTAAACGGTAGTGAGGCTATATACCCGGTTCCCACCAGTTTTTCCCATAATAACACAAATGGTCCCTCCTTGCCATATTCTTTTCAAAACAAATCCCAAATTTACCAATTAGACCCCGCCTTTTTAAAATCCTTTCATGCTAGATCCATAATTTACTTTTTAACCCCTGCTCCCATAAATCTTTTCAATCTAAGCCCAACATTTACCAAACAACCCTTGTCTTCAAAAATCCTTTGCATAATAAATCCCGAAATTACATTTTAATCCCCGGAGATTCAATCTTGTCATTTGGCTCCTCGAAACCAACAACCCACTAATTATTATTCGATCTTGGGCTAAAATTGTATAAAATAATCATAATAATTACTTCCCGGGATTCCTGATTTATTATTTAATTACTCCATTTAAACGGGATGTTACAAAAAATCAGTAACAAAAGTCACAAATCTAATAACCAACATATCTAATTAACATATTACTTTATCAAGTCATAAATCTAATATATTGAAGTTGAAAATTTGAAGCATAAACTTCTGATTATAAAAAAGTTTTAATCAAACAAAACTATATGAATGAGAAGCAGATAGAACATAATGGATTCAAAAATCAGAAACTAGTCAAATCAAAATTCATAATGAGAAACAACCAAGCAAGAAAACCTGAAATAAAAAAATAAGAATCTTAGATCAAACCTTAAGGGTTGAACCAAAAGTTAATCGCTGGGATTCATAGGGACTTATCAACTGAATCTTCTTTCCCTCTGCATTTCTTCTCTTTTTTTCTGCGTGTTTTCTAGTCTTAATCAAATAGACAAATGAGGGTGTTTTCATGAATCTGGTTGCAGGTGGTATCAGATTCAAAGAACAGTCGAGATTCAGGGTGGTTGTATCTTGTAGATAAAGCCGAAATTCGAAAATTGTGAGAAGCAGTCAAGCAAGTTAAGGGAATGCGAAAAGCAAGATCAAAACTATCAAACTGAGAAGTAGATGAGTGAAATCTTGTAGATGATTGCGATTAACTAGGTTACCCAATAATGAGGACGTTGATTCCACAAGTGGAGGGCGTCCATTTGATTCTCCTGCCTCTATGGATGAGATTCATGAAAGGCGCCTAGTGTATTATCCGTTTTCACAATATCTTTGTTTATTTATGTTTGTTTATGTTTGTTTATTTTGCGTTTAACATCTTAACGAATATAAACAAATAAACACAAACATAGTAAGTTGTTAAACTAACAAACATTAACCCAAAAAAAAATCTCACTTATCTATCATTGTTGATTTGCTTGTTCGGTTTAACTTAGGGGCTGTTTGATTTATTGTTGACCGGGTCCGGTCAGAGCTTTTTTGCTGATTCGGTCCGGTCAGTGCATTTGTATAACGAAAAAACTCACTTACTCCGTCAGCCAATTTCTTATTTATCACTTACCCGGTCCTGAAAAAAATTTAGCTGACTAGGTCTTTTAATCTTTTTCCTTGATTGCCCCTTGTTTACACGATTACATGGACGCGTTTTCTTCTCCTTCAATGATCACATCTCCAGCTCCAACGATGTTTCTTCTCTATAGATTTACCAACGACATGTGCGCCGACTAGTCCCACCTCCACCTACGCCTTCGGCTGCCTCCGCCCTACGCCACGCCTAACCTGAGATTGATCTCCTTCAATCTGTAGGAAAAACCCTTCTTTTTCCCCCTTCTTGCTTGCGCCATTGAACAATTCCGACGTCTTCCTCCGACTCAGGTGTGTATTGCTCGTTTTTTTTCTTCCTGATTTTATGAGTTTGTTGGATTGATTTTCCGTTGTTCACATTTGCCAATACTCTGATCGATCACAATTTCTTTGTTTACTCCTGCTATCTGAATGTTCTATCACAAAATTGATTGTGTTTGTTCGATTTTAATAGAATCTTGTTTTCAAAAGCTAGAACATCATTTGTTCATCATTTGAGTTTTTGAGTTGGTTTCTTGTGAAATTGTTAGATATAGTGTTTACAAATTGGCTAATGGTTGTTTCAGATGTGTTGTTAACAATTATAATACCAGGAGTAATGATTGGAGAAAGTTGGACGATATTGCCCCTGATGCTATTGATCTTCCTTTTAAACTGTTTGTGGGAAGGAAGTGAAAGGAAGGAAGATGGAAGCATGATCTTTGTGATGAAGCGAGAGTCCGAGTTCAAAGAAGAGGATCAGATTGCAAAAGTTGAAGTCTTTCTTGCTTCATAGCCATGTTTTTTATTTTTTGTTTTTGTTCATAAGATTTCATGTGGGTGGTTTAGGATGAGATTCTAGAATGAACAGGATTATATTGCAAAACATTATAGTTGTTCTTGAATGTGAAATGATGATCCTAGAATGGCTCAAAGCTTTAGTTTGTCGGTGGTTTAGGATGAGATTCTATATTTTTTTTTATTGTTATTCATGTGAGTATGCATTTAAGAATAATATCAAGTGTTTTTTGATTAAATATTTGAAGTCAGTTAAGTGTTGTTTTGGATAAAATGTTTGGATATATTGTTAGATCAATGAACAAAATTGATGTACTTTCTTGTAGTGTTTTTAAAAGATATTATTTGAGGGTAATATAGTCATTTTGTATAGTCAGTCAAATGCAAAATCAAACAGCAAGTTTCAGTCAGAAGTTAACTCAGTTAGAACTTTTAACCAAGTCAGCTTCTAACTCAGTCGACTCTAACCCGGTCAACAACTATCAAACGACCCTTACACACGAATGAATATAAACAACTAATGAATATAAACAACTAAACAAAGTTTTGTTTATGTTCATTTGTTTTGCCCTCACTCTCAACAAAACTTTAGTTATAAATACGTTTTCAACAATTCAAGTCACAAGGACCCACAATGACCCAACATTTACTACCCACAACGCTCTTCTCGCCATCTTCCTAATCCTACCCACTTTCTATAAATCTTAAATCAGCACCACTCCATCCGTCGTCATCAACCACAACCACAGGCGAAAATGGTACATCCGATTGCAGAAGCCAACGAAACCAGCCCCTTCGGAAAACGTACACCGGAGGAATTCTACGCCCATCACTCACTTGTTCACTCCACCGACCACCTTATAAACCCAAGAGGCCTTAAACTCTTCACGCAGTCTTGGACGCCACTCCCGCCGACCAAAATCATCGGCGTTATCTGCGTTGTCCACGGTTATACCGGCGAGTCAAGCTGGTTCGTACAACTAACCTCCGTCCACCTCGCCAAGGCTGGATTCATCGTCTGTGCTATCGACCACCAGGGTCACGGATTCTCCGATGGTCTCAAACTACATATCCCTGACATCAATCCCGTCGTCGACGACTGTATCTCGTTCTTCAATTCCTTCCGTGAAAAACACGCGCCGTCGCTTCCTTCTTTTCTCTACTCCGAATCCCTCGGTGGCGCTATCGCTCTTCTCATCACCCTCCGCCGCGACGGGAAACCCTTCGACGGATTAGTCCTTAACGGTGCCATGTGTGGGATAAGCGAAAAGTACAAGCCGCCGTGGCCGTTGGAGCACTTCCTCTCCATCGCCGCGGCGGTGATCCCTACATGGTGCGTGGTCCCCACTCGCGGGTCTATTCCAGAGGTGTCGTTCAAGGTAGAATGGAAGCGGAAATTAGCGATGGCTAGTCCGAGGAGATCCGTGGCGAGACCACGCGCCTCCACTGCGAAAGAACTCCTACGGATTTGCAGAGATGTGCAGAGTAAGTTCGAGGAAGTAGACTTGCCGTTTCTGATAATTCACGGCGGAGAAGACATTATTTGCGATCCGGCGTGTGTGGAAGACCTGTACCGACGCGCCGCCAGTAAGGATAAGACGTTAAAGATATACCCCGGGATGTGGCATCAGTTGATTGGAGAAGAAGATGATGACGTGGAGCTAGTGTTTGCAGATGTGGTGGAGTGGCTGAAGACCCGGGCCACAAGCGGCGGAGACTCTTAAAACTGCCGCCGTGTTAAAGCTGTGAAATGAATGACTAGCGAGTTGTAATAGTCTTTAGTTATAACTTATAATTAATAAGAATCCATTTACGAATTAATCTCCTTTTCCAAATCAAAATATAGCGAACAAAGTTGTGAATGTCATCTTCATTTTCATGAAAGAAAATCTTAAATAGTTTGTTCAATCGATCCTAGTAAATCAGATTTTTTTAAGATTTATTATGTAAAGTGTTTAATGTTTTTGAATGTATTGGAAAACAATTATTACAACTTTTGAAGATGTAACAACTCATTCTGTATGTCACAATCAAATCTTACTTCTTCTTTACCACAAAATTCATTATTAATCAAATTAGGAGTACATTGAAATAACTCCCAGTTGAATTATTTGTCATTTCAGGGCATGCTTTCATAAAGATATCTAAAACCATGTGGTGGTTATAGATTATACGTCGAATGCAAACACTGGTAGACTAGTTGTCCTATCATTATTACACATATTACAAATTAGGCATCCTATCATATAATGTTGTGTTGTATTCACAAGGCAATTCAAGACCCTAATCTTAGATTAGGTAGTATCGAAGTAGAGAATGTACGATATAAATCAAACCATTAAAAAAAATTGACAGACGATTTAATATTGCATCATCAGAAAACCATAAGGTGAACAACGTATTCATGGTTTTTATTTTCCCTAAACATGAATGAGGTCTTCGTTCATAGTATTAGTTATCCTTGTCATATAACCATTGATATTCGACATGAGTTGTTGAGAACAAGTTAGCACTCCTTTAAAAGGGCTTTGTTGTTCCTATATGAATGAATGAGTCAATAACATAACGATGAATTGATAAATGGGGAATTAAATGTTGAACAATGATGTAAATGATACTTTGAAGATCTTTGATTGATCAATCGAATAGAGTACAAGAAAAGCTTTAGTATTCATAAAGAATACGAGTAAAGATGCAATGAAATCGTTACCCTATTACAATGACACACACTTATATATAAAGATACAAGGAGGTGTGGTATTTGACCAATCATAAAAAGACACATGCGCTATACACACGTGACTCGCACACCAGAAGGCTCAAACTAACATACACTATCAGTTAGGAGCACTAACATAAGCTTATGTTATAAGTTATAACTAAATTTGAAGGAGCATAATATGTTATACACACATGATGCGCACAACAGACTGCTCACACTAACATACAATATCAGTTAGGAGCAATTAGCTTATGTTACAAGTTATAACTAATTTTGAAGGAGCATAATATGCTCTATGAACAGCTTCGGATACTAACTCCAAAACTTCACTTTGTTACAAACTTCAGAGCTTCACTTCAGATATAAACTATGACGCTTCATATTATCACAACAAAATTGTACCCAACATGAATCCAACCTAATTAGGTAGGGATTCCTGTGAAACGAAGTAGTAAGTGTTTGAGGTTGGGCTTCTTTCAAACCTTATATATGATATATGTATTACTCATTAAGTTTTATAGTTTACATTTGTTTATAAACTTCGTCTTTAGGTAACAGGTTAAACTACAAGTGCATAGGAGAGGCATATGACTTAAAGAACAAGTATAGAATTAAGTTGTTTACTACATAGATGTATAATTTAGTGCATGTCATTTATTATGCAATGTATTGTTGTGTATATTAAATGATATGAACTTATTACCTTGATGTTTTTAATATTTTGAAATAAAAATGATAATCTTTGACTAGAAGTGGGGTGTTGCATAGTAGTTTTCCCAATTTAGATAACCAACTTTCATTTTTTATGAACTCATAAAAACACACCAATTTATCTGTCTACCAACCAATTTCACTTTTTATACAATTATGGCAATTACATATCAAATTCCATAACAAACATCTCAAAATGTAGTGCTAAACCTAGCTTTTAGCATTTTTTCCAGTTGTAACAGTTTCACCGGAAACTCTTTCAAATACATATAAAACTTATGTATTCTCTATAGACAAGAATGTACAAAAAATATGTGCATCTATATCTCTAACTCATGTTTTAACAAGATACTCAAAATAGCAACATACTTTCCAAACTCATTTTTAATCCAAATTCTAAATATATAAGATGTTATATTTCATGTTCCATAATCATTTTTTATGAATTAACTAAGAAGTCAACAAAAGTCAACTAATTAGATCATCATCTTTAACTTCAAGAATGTTACCATTCGTATTCCATAATAATAATATCAAAGATCAAAGACAAACAATATACACATCCACCCACCAAAAGATAATCAAAGTTCCATAATGCCATACCAATTAGACCATGCTCAGCAAACAAAGAGCAATGTACAACCACCAAAGCACAGAGTACGAGTACACGTCATTACACCATTCAACCTAAACATGTCATTCCTACTTCAACAATTCACATCATCTACCAAATTCAGCATAACTCAGTATCAAACTTAAGCGAAATCCCCATACTAAAGAGCTCCTGTGTCAATAACTTAGCACCATAAGGCACACTCACCTTAATCACATCTTCAACCGAGTCACACACCCGACAATACGGGCCCCGGATCTTGTGTCCACCTGCAACAGACCTCTGAATCACACCCGCCATTCTTTTGCATTTTGTACAGACATGCATTTCAGAACAGTCACTGAGTGTGAAAAGGCGTTCATGTAAGTTAGCAGAAGCTCCATGGGCTATCAAGCAGTCTCTTTCCATTTCCCCAAATTTTATTCCACCAAACCGTTTCCTGTCAGCCACCGGTTGCCTCGTCAGCGGGTGGACCGGGCCCGTGTTTCTAAACTTCACTTTGTCCTCCGACATGTGAACCAGCCTCTGGTAGAACGTGGGGCCCATGAACACTAGCGATTTTACCATTTCACCCGTCCTCCCATCATAGAGTCTCTCATTTCCCCATCGTGCAAATCCAGCCCTGTAATAAACAAGTAAATGAAAATACTTTGATATAATCATAAAGAAAAAGGAGTAGTTTACTTTACCAATTATTACCTGTGAAGCTGATCTGTAATGGCATCAATGGAGAGAGAAGAAAAAGGTGTAGCGTATCTCTGTGAACCTCCCAACGCGATACCTTTCCCCAAAGCAGATTCCAGCATCTGCCCTGGAGTCTGTCTTGATGGGAATGCATGTGGATTGATCACAATATCTGGGACTATCCCTTGTACACTGAAAGGAAAGTTTTCCTGAGACTCCAAATACCCTAAAACGCCCTTCTGCCCATGCATACTTGAGAACTTGTCACCAAGACATGGGGCCCGCACCTGTCTCAAAGATACCACTGCAAAATTCTTCCCTTCATCATTAGCAGACAACACAACCTTCTGAACCATTCCTCTTTCCGTATGTTTCAGTTTCACACTATGATCAGTCCCTGCTTCTGTAAACTTCCCAATCACAATATCACCACTTTGCAAATTTGCACCGATAAAAGGAAACCCATCCTCATCCAAACTATCCACCCTTCCAATCTTACTTTGAATCTTCCCAAAATTCACAGCCTCATCAGACTTAACCTTCTTCTTTGAAACTTCCGTATTATCAACCTCAGCTTTATAGCTTCTAATATGCTCTGACCGAAACATGCCCCGGTCAAGCGAGCTCCTGTTCATCACCAATGAATCCTCTTGATTATACCCAAGGTGGACATTGACCGCTACAATAGCACACTGCCCGTTGAAAAACTCGGGTCTAGCAATCAAACCCTTTTGATTTTGACCAGATTGTTGACCTTTTTCAAGACAATCGGAAAGAACGGTTTTGAAAAGAGGTCTTTGAGGGTAGAAGAGTTGGTGTGAAAGAGTGTCGACTCTGATGTCTGGATTTGTGGATGAGTATCCAACAGCTTGTTGACTGTGTTTTTGGGATTGGAATAGGACTCTTTTTGCGTGATCATGGTTAGCAAAAGGGATGATGCCACAGCTTATGCCCATCATGAATGACATGTCGAGTTCACAATGTGTGTATTTCTTAGGGGCGTGTTCGTCATTTTCGAGGAAGAGGTATTTGATGTCCCATGCTGTGCAGCAATCTTCTTCCTCTTCGGGTCCAATTAGTTCAATGACTCCATTGTTTAAAAGATCTTGAAATGAATAGCTTCCACCTTTTAGGGTTCTGATTTTGGGTAAGTTTTGGATGACTATGAGTGGGCGTAAAATACGCCCTGCATCACGAAATATTCTCACTTCTTTGTGCCTTGTGTCTCTTTTTATCTCAACCTAAATGAAAAAAACAATATAAAATGTTTTTAGAAGGGTAATTAAGTCTTTTGTATAACCTAAGATACTGACCTGAGGAGGTACTTCTGTTTTGCGACGCCTACGCCTAAACTCAGCAACAAAAGAAGCAGAATTTTTGCAAAATCCAACCCAATCTCCATCAACAAAAACTTTATCCATTCCAGATAAAGAAGTTGAAGTATCATCTACTAATTTTTCCATTCCACATGCCACCAATACATCAAAAAGTCCACCCCTGACAGCTGTCGACACCAGAGCAGTGCCAGCTAGATTCTTTATCAACCCACAGTTTTCCCCATCAGGGGTAGAAAGAAAACAAATCTTTCCCCAATGAGAAGGGTGTCTACATCAATCAAACAAAAGATTATCAACCAATCAATCAATCAATCAATAACTATAAAAAGAAAGTATTATAATTTATAATTACTTACGGGTATCTTGCATCTCCAGCTTTCCCAGCATACAAAACTTGCTGACGTGTCCTTCTCATATCTGAAATCATTTGTAAAGGATTTGCCCTTCTAAGCATTGCAACAACTCCAGAAGTTCTTTCCATGTTTTTATACGGGTGGGACCAAGAACCCGTTGAAAAAGCCCGTGTAAGCCCATTTGTAATAATTGAAGCATCAAGATATTGCCAGATTTCACCTACACTTCTATCTGGATAAAGATCCCTTTGCAATGACTTCACTAATCTCTTCTCAACATGTCGAAGATGAATTCTCAACTCTCTTTCAAGTAACTCACCAGCAAGTTCCAATCTTTTGTTCCTGAAATCGTCTTTGTTGTCAACTTTTCGTTTCCCAGTATACCCTTCTAAAAGACACTTCACCATGTACCCTAAAAATCTTGCTTTTCTTTTGAACCCAATGATATTAGGAAATAAGTAATTCTCAATGCACTCTTTCACACTCTCTTTAGGTGGAAATTTGCTTTCTTTGAGAAGTTTGTCAATGAGATTTAGTGAGTTTCTTCCTTGACGAAATTCATCACATTTCTCTAATTCACACCTCTGATCAGCAGCATGAATGGAAGCAATTAAAATATTGACGATATTGCCATCGGTAATGTCTGCATCAATCAAGTCTACCACTTCTTTATCAGAAGATACACCAAGGGCAAAAAAGAGAATCCATATTGGTATATCCATTAAACTTAACAGATAAACAGTTATCACTTGTGCCCCTCCTCCTATATCTTCAATCTTGGGAGTGTCTGCAAGTTTCACATAAACCCTTTTTCTTTTGTGCACAGAGCGATACATCACACGATAATTTGGAGAATTTGCTAACCAAACTCTGTTTAATCCAAGCTGCTCTTGTGCAATAAAGATCTGCAATAAAAAGTTTGAAACTTTATAGTTTCTCCAATCTTAATCTTATTGTAGAAAATGACATAGTGAAAGGGAAAATTGCACAATGTTTATGAAAGTATAAGTATATATGGTGTCACCTTTTCAGCTCCCTTGATTATGAAATAGCCTCCTTGATCATAATCACAGTCATCTTTTTTATCTTCACTCATCCAGCATGTGTCAGAATTAATCATCACAGGAATCCTCCCAACAAACACATCAAGATCCCTGGTTTCTTGGATCTGCTTGTCTAAGTACTTTTCTTTACCTGTTTTGAACTTGTCACTGCGTACAAGTTCTTGTGTATACACCTAAAAAGTGTTACACAATAAGCACAGATTCAGAAATCTTGATTTTGGTTACAAATTTAGACTAAAAAAACAAGAAATTAGTCATTTATTTATTACCTGTAGTGTGAGCTGCACCTTCATTCTGGATGAGTATGTCATGTTTTGAAGACGAGCATGTCTAGGTAAGAATTCTAGGAATTCTTTACCAGATTCGGCTTTTTCTCCAGTGTAGAACCTTGGTCTCTCAAGGTTGACTTGTCCAAACTTTATTGAAGCATACCTCCATGGATTATCACCCTTCTTTGAGGGATCATAACCAGGCTCCACAATGATCTCACCTATGGAGTCGAAAACATTTTGAATTCCAACGTTGATGAAATCATTGTATGAGTTGATCTGGTGGCTTATAAGCCCATAGTGTTTGAAAAAGGAGGTTGATGCCCTTTTGCAGAAGTTCTTTAGGTATGGTTCATCGAAATCTCTAACTGATAGTGCATCCATCATGTCATCATCATCATCATCATCGTCTTCCATGTCTATGTCGACATGTACAGCTCCATTTGAAGGCTTATCTTTGAAGCTTGGTCCTGCCTCTTCTTCCATGTTATCTGAGACTCTGAAGAATAGAATAGATCTGATCAATAAATAATCAAATAACCCACAAACATGCAAATAGCTAAATCCCATGTTTATCAAACCCAAGCTCAAGCAAAACGAGTATATTATATAATGCAACTAGAGCGTATCACTAGATTACCATAACCATAGAAACAGCATTTGAGTTTTTGTTCATATTCATATGAAAAAACAATAATGATGTAAGATTTCACTGTACAAACAAACCAGATTTCTTTAACGTTAAGAAAAACCTTTGTAAGTGACAAATTAGAGGCATACGTACGTTCTAGACCGTCTTTCGCTTAAACCCTAGGAACGGCAAACATAAATAAGCGAAATACAACCAACATGCGGAAACCCTTTTACCAGTAAAACTTCATTTCCGATCAAACAAACACTGATTCGACTCTCTTCAAAATGTCAAAGACAAAAAGCATGAAAATCACTCGTCATCTAAAAAATTTGAGCAACTTCTTCTCATATCATTTCAAAATTTCGGTATGTTCTGTTACACCGATCCGACTAAACCTAACAAATTTCAAAAAGAATACCCAGCTATACATGAAATTCGGAGAGATACTTACGAAGAACTTGGAGCTTGACAGTGTTTTCACCTTGCGTGAAATACTAGGGTTTTAGAAGGCCCCAAAATCAAAATGCAGTATAATTACTCAAATTGGGATTACTAAGATTTTAAGAGGGTTTCTCTCAGTAGTGAGAGCCTACGAAGAGCGAGGGTTTCCAAAAAGCGTGAAGACTGAGGAGGACACTATAAAGGACAATGATTCTGAGCAAAATATTGGGTGAATTACAAAAATGTCCCTTATATGTTAATATTTGTTGCATTTTTGCTTGCTCTATATTTTTATGTTACGATAGCAATGCCTATTGGTTCGCAGAATGTTGCTGAAGGAATTGCATTTGAAATTGGAAAATGAAGTTGTCAGGAATTTGAATCCAATTCCATATCCTGTTTGGTTGGCAGAAAATGGAATTGGAATTAATTCCAGATTTTGTAGATTTTGTTTGGTTCGCAGGAATTGAAATTGAAATCCATGTAAAATGATAGAATTGTCATTTTTGTCTATTTTGCTTAATTTTACTTTATTTTTTAATTTATATGTAAAGATACATTATATAAATTATAAAAATAGTAAAATTTAATTTAATTGATTAAATGTTCGTGTCAATATAATGCGAAAATCATGCAAATGACTTCATAACTTATAAAATCCTTTAAATACACATCCCAATAACGTTACAAAAAAACCATAACTTAAAAGCTATCACCTTCTTCACTAGATATCCTAATATTGTTACAAAAAAAAAAGTTAACGTAAAATATTTCGTTACATCCAAATCGAAGGCACCAAAAACTTTCAAATCCAAAATACCGATCAACATCCAATGCACATCCCAATTGATAATACTATCCTTCCAAAATGTATTTTACCCAAGCTTCTCTATCACCTTCTTCAATTTCCCAAAAATTTTGAACATTAATGGTAAGGGTAAACATCAGACTACTTTTTGTTATATCAAATAATACAATTATGCATATTAACCAATCAATCACGATCAAGAGCAAGAACAAAATGAGAAGTCGATCACTTCTCACAATCTCATTGGGAAGTATGGAAGTATGGTTCAAATCCTTTCAGAGCCAAAAAAAGACTCGATTCTTTACAACAAAAAGCATCCTGAATGTATAAAATGCGATTAAAGGGACTTTTTTTTCCAGATTCTGATATCATGATATCATAGGGGTCACAATAGCGAATGAAGAAAAAAACCTCCAGCGATGTCACAGTAGCTCTATTCGGGGTCGACTTCATAGGGGGTTATTTGGTTCGAATGTATAAAATGAGATTAAAGAGAGAGGGAGAGAGAGGGAGAGAGAGAGAGAGAGAGAGAGAGAAAGAGATTACCTGCGATGAAGCTGGTTGAACGACCTTGTGACGAAGTGGAGAAGACGCAATGGAGAGGTTGCGGCTGAACGAGAATGAGATGGTGTCTAGGTTTACCTGATGAAGCGTATGGTAATATTTAGTGAGGGCAAAATTGTAATCTGGTACTTTCCATGTTATGAAGGAATTAATTCCATTAGGATGGTGAAGGAATGAACTTTCCTTCGTTTGAAGGAAAATTATTTCATTTAGGATTCATTTTCCTTCCCTTAAAGTTGAACCAAACACAGGAATTCAAGGGAATTGGAATCCTTTTCCCTTGAATTTCATTCCATTCCTGCCAAACAAACAGCCCCTAAGAGTATTTATCAAAGGTTTTTCCTCTCCCTTGCACAATAGTCTATTATATTTATCAAAGAGTATTTATCAAAGGTTTTTTCATCTCCCTTACATAGTTATTTAGGTTAGAAACTCATGATTTGACAATTTAGAAACTATATTGCTAAAATATAAAAAATAGAATTATAATACTAAAATATACCGAATTATAAAATATATGAAACAGTATGAAAATATAATGGTGAAAATGTATGAAATATGATTTTTATAATTTCCATTTGTTTGTTTTATAAAATTGCACATTCAAAGTATAATAATGATATTGTATTTTATTAGATTACACACAAAAACTTACACAAACACGAAGAAATATTGAGATTTTAAAAATATAATGCTGAAACAATAACATTTAGAAATTAGAATGTTGAAATAAGATTTTTTTTAAGAAATATTGAGATTTTAAAAGTATAATGTTGAAACAATGACATTTAGAAATTAGAATGTTGAAATAAGATTATTTTTTTTTAAGTAAAACAGTGTTTTATAAATATTGAATAACTAAATGGTCTATATAATATTACCACATTAACACATAAATTACACAAATACACACATGGACATGATAGCACACACATACATATATGACCAGTAAGAATGAGTAATATTGAAGATTTATATAATAGTATTTTCCAAAAGGATTGGATACTTCTTGTGAAGTATTATACTCGTGAGTTTAAAATGTTATAATTTGTATCATTTCCCACATAAATAGAAATGTACTCTACATAAATTACAAAAATAGTTCTTGTTAACTGGAATTCACAAAATTATGTTACTTATATTTGGATTTTAAAATTAAATTTGTTAATGATAATGTATTTAAGTAATATTTATCTGATTTAAACCTTTATTTTTTTTATTTAAAAGTATCTAATTTTGCCAATAGTTAAATTATGTATCTATTTAACAGTTTTGAAAGTACATTGTTATATGGATCGAAACTCGTATAACAATATACTACACAAGATATCAGCATTGTGTATACATATATGTGAATGTGTGTATGTTAAAGCATAGAATAGCATTATTGGATACACATAAATAACAATGTACTTTATAAAGATTACAAAAATGGTCAACGGTAACTGAGATTTACAAAAATGGCCCATGTTAAATGAAATTTACAAAATTAGTTCATATTTAATGAATTTTTCATAAATTGACATTATTTTTAAAATGTTAGAAAGTTAAAATCTAATAATTTCAACCTACTTTGAGTTTCTTTCAAAATATAGCAGCATACCTTGAAAATTTTGAATTACACAAAATAGCAATGTCTTTTACAAAAATTACAAAAATGGTTCATGTTAACTGTGATTTACAAAAATGCTCCATGTTAACTAAAATTTACAAAGTATGTTGCTATTTTTTGGATTTTAAAATTAAATTTCTTATTGATAATGTATTTAAAACTTTTTTACTGACTAAAACAATTATATTTTATTTAAAGTTATGTAAGTTTACCAATAGTTACATATGTAATTAAATATAAAAATAAAAACACATGAGTTTTAGACCTATATTATGTTTAAAATAATAACTTGTAGTATATGTAATTAAAGCTTAAATAAGGATTAAAGTATTATACATGATAGTACATATAATTTCCTAGTATATATGACCCTAACAAACATTGTAACGACCCAGACTTTCTATCATCTAATCTAACGGGATTATCAGAGTCATTACTAAAATTTGTGGAATTCTATTAACTCATAAAGTAAAAACATTTTATATCTCATGCATAGTCACGGGTTTATAATAAAAATCTTCATACAAATTAGAACAACAATGAAATAAAACCTATTATAAGTCCTTATGCTCATGTCTTTACTTCTGGTACCACGATTGCTATAACCTGAACCTGCAAAACATAAAATATGTGCAATATCAGACACAAGGTGTCTAGTGGTGTCTAGTGGATTATTCTTCTACTTTTCTTATATTTCATCTTTCTTTCTCTTTCTCATACTCTATCATCTATTCTTTTTCTCTAATAGCATACATTGTTATTCTTTATTCTTTCGTCTTTCTTCTCTACTCTTTCTCATCTCATCTATCTCTTTCTCTGTCATCTACTATGTTTCTCATACTCTTTTCTTAGCCTCTTCTCATGCTTTATCCATATTCTAACTTTGTCTCTAACTATGTCTCTTATTTGCTCTAACTCTTACTCTGTTCTCTACTCTATATCTTCTCTACTTTTAGTATGCCTTCACGTATTATACTTACTCTTCATATCTCTCTATTCTCAACTCTAATGTCTCAACATTCTTTTCTCATATAAACCCAAAGTTCACATCTCATATTGTACTCTAAGACCCCGTTTGGTGAGTAGAACTAGATGGAACAGAACATCACTAAATTTTTTAGAGGGTGTTTGGCATACCTGGAACAAGAACTAATTGGAGGTTTGACCAAGTCCAATGGGACAATTCACTAAAAAAATAGTCCCACCCAAAAAGGTGGAACTAATCAGAACACGTACTATCATATTTCTAATCTAACGGAAATATCCCTACTTGGAACGGGTCTCAACCCTCGTCTCTATTTTTCTCGTTTTCTACCACTCTTCTTCAAATAAATATCATCGTCTCCTCTCCTCTGTTACGATCAATCACACACAAGAATTGATTATTGATTATTGGTTCTCGATTTTGTGGCATTCGAACTCTCCAACAATCATTATCGTCTATACTCAACATCGCAAGGTACGATTTCTTTTTAATTTTCAGTATGTACATCTCTTCAATTACTTGAACGATTTCTTGATTTGTTTCTCTCCTATCCATACTTGCATCTGTTAGTATTTAGTTGTGTATTAATTTCGACCGGCTTCAAGTTATCTATATAATTGAAATCTCTTTGTGGATGATTTTTTATTCTTTCTCTTGCTATCGTTACATGTATCTGTTGAATGAGTTTTGATTCTTTATATTACTATCGTTACTTGCATCTATTACTTGATAATTATGTGTTTTAATTTCATTTGTTACTTGATTCTTGATTAATTACTTTATAATTACCTATATTGAAAATCTTTTTGTTTTATTTGGTGGTTTAATCTGTCACTCTTGTGAGGTTTGAATACCTGGTGGATTCAAATACTTTTTTTTTACAAGAGAGCTTTTGCAAAATAGAATACTACAATCTTATTAAGCCATGTATGTACAGTCGAGGGACAATATGCTTGGAATTTTGACTAAATCGTTGTATTGACTAATGTTATGGAAAAAAAACATTGACTAATACAATGGCTGAAAATGTAATCACATAATCCCATTTTATTTCAATGGCAATCGACAAAAGAAACTTACCTCCTGATATGCATGTGCTTTCTCAAGTTTCTTACCTGCATCTGTTAGTAACACATGGAATGAATAAAAGATGCCATTAGACTTCACATTTATTAAGACTAAATTGCCCCTAAGTTTTTGTTTCTGCCTATTTTATGATAAAGATACAAACTAGTTATTGGGAGGCTTAATTAAGCTTTTTTTGTCATAACCTGTCTAGTTTGTGTTGTCCGTGTCCATTTTATGTTGTAGATACTCAATTTATAACGAATATGTCCCTATAATTCATTGTTATTACTACATGTAGAGTTTATGTTGTTCCTGCCCGATTCATGTTATATATACTCAATTTAGGACAAAAATGCCCCTGTAGTTTCCTTTTGTTTTTTATTAGCTTGTTTATTTCTATAGACTCCTCATGGCATTTCATTTCTATAATAAATATTAATTTTTATTTGTCGTTGCTATTTTTTCCCATCTTCGTCTCTCAAACATGTTTCTTTAAAATCAGTAAAATGTTGTTGTTTTACTTGTTTTTTATAAACTTTGTAGATATGGATTGTAATCATTTTCTCCTGTTTGTGAAACTATTGGAGAGTTATATTCAGTTGTTGATGTGCCTAGCTACAATTAGAGTTTGGTTAATTGAATGCGAGGAAAAGAATCTCAAAGGATAAATCTAAATAATAATACATTAGACACACTTTCAAAAAGGTCTTCAGGAATACATCATATCACACGTGAAAGTGATGATGATTGTATATACAAGTTACTATTTTTTCCCATCTTCGTCTCTCAAACATGTTTCTTTAAAATCAGTAAAATGTTGTTGTTTACTTGTTTTTTATAAACTTTGTAGATATGGATTGTAATCATTTGCTCATGTTTGTGAAACTATTGGAGAGTTATATTCAGTT